GATTATATCCAAAAAAAGCAAAACACAGGCTATAAACAGCAGAGCAGCAGATGGTACCATGCAGTGGTGTTAAAAGATGCTTGGAATTTCCTGGAGGGAATCTGTCCTGTTTCTCTTTCCTGTGCTCACTCAGAGCGTGGGGGTTATTGTCACTGGGCGAAGACTGAACAGAGATTCTGGAGAAGTGACAAAGCAAAAAAAGGCCCGTGGCTGTAACCTGAGTTATTGGCAGATCTAGAATAAGGTGCAGAGCGGGTGAAACCACCTGCAGGGTACCTGAGGGTCACCAGGAGAGCCATGGGGTGCTGTTGGGTGCCAAGGCTGGGGGCACATGGGTGTGTGGTCTGTAGAAAAGCCCACCAGAAGCCTTCTTGTCTTTGAAAGTAGGGAAAATATGGAAGAAAATCATAGAATTGCTTTAGCTGGAAAAGACCTTTCAGATCACCAAGTCCAACCCTTCCCCCAGCCCTGCCAAGGCCACCACTGCCCCATGTCCCTCAGCACCACATCTACAGGCTTTGAAATCCCTCCAGGGATGGGGACTCCCCCCCTGCCCTGGGCAGCCTGGGCCAGGGCCTGACAGCCCTTTGGGGAAGAAATTGTTCCCAAGATCCAACCTCAACCTCCCCTGGTACAACCTGAGGTCGTTTCCTCCTGTTCTGTCACTTGTTCCTGGGGAGCAGAGCCCGACCCCCCTGGCTCCAACCTCCTCTCAGCAGCTGCAGAGCCAGCAGGTCTCCCCTCACCTCCTTGTCTCCAGGCTGGACACCCCCAGCTCCCTCAGCTGCTCCTTGTAAGACTCGTGCTCCAGACCCTTCAACAGGGATGGGATGAAGCAGGTTGCTATTCTGACTCCAGCTCCTTCACCCACCAGTCAAGTCAGTTTCAGTGGCTGGGAAGTGGAACGTGGTGGGGAAGGGCTGGAGCATCAGTCCCCACCTGCACAAGATGCTCCTCAGGGTTTGAAGAATGTGCTCTCAAAAGAAACCTCTCCACCCCAAGTTGGCTAAGGATGAAGAGACCCTGGACAATCTTCACTGGGTCAGATGAGGTCACCTAAAAGGTCTTTCAAGGGTGATTTCTGTGCTGGCAGCTGCTAAATTCTGAGATACATCATGCACCAAAGACAAGTATTTTTCCTCTGTTGACTATAAAGCAGGAGTGTTTGGGACTGGGCTTAGAGCTTTAAGTTAGAGATGATGAATTTCAGCTTCTCAAACCACCTGCCTTGGCCCAGTGTATCATTAACAGCTCAAGCAGGAAAATAGCAACACAGATCGATCCTGCTATTAACATCAAGCTGGAATGTGACCCAAAAGTGATCCTTAAATTACAACTGAGGCCCTGACAGCGACAGATGGCAACATCACAGCCTCCTGACATCCTTCCCATGCCCTGGAAATACAGCTTGGGATTTATCAGCCCCTGGAATCACAGTGTGTCAGTTGAAAGAGTGAATCACGAGCAGTTTCACTCTGTTACCCAGAAAAACGAGCAAAATCGATCACAGGCTCCTAAAACACTAATTCTTTACAGAGGGATTTGTTGCTCTGTGAGGGCAGAGGATCCCCAAGGTCTGAGGGGTCTTCTGAGACACGATCTGCATCTTAACTGCCCAGGTGAGGGCTCAAGTTTTTGAGCTGAAGATGGGAGTGAAGGCAGCCCTGCCCTGGTTTTCCCTTCCTGCCTTCACAGAGTGAGGACACAGGATCTCACATCCAGACTCCTCCAGCTCCCCCAAACTTAGAAAACTTCCAAGGGCTGGTCAATTCCTATTTATGCTTCTCAGAACCTGTAAACAGCTGTGTAACACAAGTCTGAAGACTCCTGTGGACCTATTTCTGACAGGGCTGATACTGGCCAGGGGCAACTCTAGGTCTCTCCAGCCCATTCCCCAACCAAGGGTGACTTTTGATCCACACACCAGGCAGGTGGGAACAGCAGCCACGTCCCTGCTTGGCTCCCCTCAGTTGCTGCTCACCATTGTTACCCCGAGATTGATGATGTGATTTGGAGGCTGGAGTGTTCCCTGGCAACACAAGGCTTGGAGCTGTTCCTGCTAATTTCCTCTGCCAATTGAGTCCAGTGTCAAGTGGCTCTTCCCACAGCCTGGGCAGGTATCCGTGGTTTTCCTGCATACCAGGAAATAAATCCCTAATGAATTGATATTCACCCTTCAGCCAAGCAATTGCAGCACATCGACTGGTCAGAGAAGCAGCCAGGCCTGCTGTTCTCCAGAAAGCTCCACTGCATGAGACACCTGACCTTCTCATAGCAGTTATCCCCACCCTTGTCTTCTCCTTGGATGAGCCAGCCAGGGCCACCGAGTTGATTTCTGCCCAAAGTTCTCTTCTTTGGAAAGGAGTCGAGGTGTGTTTCATAGCCAGAAGGTGCTGCTGCTTTGCTTTCAGGTGGTCTTTCTTTGAGCAACCTGGTCTGGTGGGAGGTGTCCCTGCCCATGCAGGGCAGTGGAACTAGATGATCTTCTAGGTCCCTTCCAATCCAAACCAGTCTGTGATTGTATGAGCTTTCTTCTCAGATGGAGATGGATATCTTGAAGGGAATTGCATTGCCCAAATGTCTGCTATCACACAAATACTGGGGATAAGCTCATCAGATGTTGTGTTGCAAATAAACCTTCTAGTCTGACCCACTACCTACACTGAGAACAACAACAACAAGTCAAAACTCCTGCTATGAAAGGCAGGAATCAGCTTAACCCCATTCACTTGAAAACAGCTCCTGCTCTGTGCTGCCTGCCAAATATACTCAGCCTGGGCACTGGGGTTTAAAGGGCAGTCAGAAAAACCTCACCAAACCCAACAACATACAAGTTGACAGGGATTCATGACACACAAAGGACAGAGAGATCCTTTTGTCGGGACCCTGCACCTGGGTCGGTACAATCCCAAGCACAATTACAGGCTGGGCAGAGAAGGGATGGAAAGCAGTGCTGAGGGGAAGGACCTGGGGGTGTTGGGTGATGAGAAGTTGGACATGAAACCACCCGTGTCCTGGGCTGCATCCCCAGCAGCGTGGGCAGCAGGGCCCAGGGAGGGGATTGTCCCCTCTGCTCTGCTGAGATCCCCTGCAGGGCTGGGGTCCCCCGCACAAGAAGGACATGGAGCTGTTGGAGAGTCCAGAGGAGGCCACAGAGATGATCCCAGGGCTGGAGCAGCTCTGCTCTGGAGACAGGCTGGGGGAGAGTTGGGGTGTTCAGCCTGGAGAAGAGAAGGCTCCAGGGAGACCTTAGAGCACCTTCCAGTGCCTGAAGGGGCTCCAGGAAAGCTGGGGAGGGGCTTGGGACAAGGACAGGGAGGGATGGGATGAGGGGGATGGATTAAAACTGTAAGAGGGGAGATTTAGGTTAGACATGAGGAGGAAATTCTTTGCTGTGAGGGTGGTGAGACCCTGGCCCAGGTTGCCCAGAGAAGCTGTGGCTGCCCCATCCCTGGCAGTGTTGAAGGGCAGGTTGGATGGTACTTGGAGCAACCTGGGCTGGTGGGAGGTGTCCCTGCCCATGCAGGGGGTTGGAACTGGATGATCTTTTAGGTCACTTCCAACCCAAACCATTCCATGAGTTTAACTCTTTAGCACAATGACCGAGACTGAAGAGCTCTCCTTTAGGGCTGCAGAAGGGGCAGCTTGACAGGCAGCTCAGCTTGATCATGGGTTACATGGACACAGACAAAAAGACAGACCATTCACACCCAGCCTCTCTCCCCACACCACAGCCAAGATGCTCAGCTCCTGCTCAGAACACACAGAAAATCAGTTATTGTGTTTTTGTGTCTTTATCTGTATTTTCCATCCCTGGTTGACATCACCCCTCCCCATTATCTACATACAATGAAAATAGGAGCTGTTTTCCTCCAAAGTGGCCAACACCAATTGCTGAAGAAGTCCTGCAGAACATCTCCTAGATGAAGATTTTGTGGCTTTTAAAGAAATCTCACTGAATCTTCAATAGATTCTCTCTCTCTTATAATTTGACACAGACTTCCATGTTAAAAACGTGTTTTGTCATTTGCCTTTTCAGGAGTAATGTGAAGAGGAAAAAGGAAATTATGAGGAGATGTGAAAACCCAGGGGGGAAAAAAATAATCCCTAAATTAGAACTCTTTTTTTTTAGCTGTTTTGCTAAACATTATTTTAGCCTATTTTACATTTTATTTATGTTACATTATTTTACCTTATCTTAAGGAGTTTCAAAATCTGAGTTTGCTTCAAACACATTTATTAGACACACTGCCTTTTCTCCAGAGAAAGTAAACACAACTGCCTTATGACTTGGAGGTAGAACTCTGTTTAGTTTAGTTCTAAAAATTGCCAAGGAGAACACCACCTTAAACAAAGAAACATTCACTTTTTATTAAAGAAAAACAACCCAAACATTACATAAAACAATACAGAGGTTGTTCAGGTTCTGAGCACTTTCTGGACCCTGCTGAGGCACTGATTGGGAAAGTACATTTGCAGTCTGGGATGACACATTTTTGCACAGCTGATCTTTCTAGTTCTCTCCCTGTCACACCCAGAGATGCTGAAGGTGCAGCTGAACACCAGCTCCATCCTACCCTTAACTCTCATTTCCTTGGGTGTCTTCCTCTTTACCAGTGTCTGCAGCAGACAGAGGGAAGGGACCAGACGCCAATCCTCTGCCCCTCTGAAAGTTCTTGTACTAAGTTTATGTTCAGAATGATTAATCTGGCTTTAACACCAAATATCACAAGTATCAAGGCCCTGACACACTGTGAACTGTGCTCCCAGGTGACATACTAGTAACAGTTTTGCTACTAAGCTTTAGATGAGTAACTTCCAAAAGGTTGGGAGAGTGGATTCAACACTTCCCTTGGGAATTGATAATCAAATGCTTCCTAATAAATGATCTGGAGCAAGGCACTCTTCTTGCTAGTGCTCTCTGAGCACAGCAGCAGATACCTCCCTGCACAGCTACCCAATGTTTTCAGCAAACAGACCCTGAGAAGGTACCAGGTTATTTAGCTCTGCTTGAATGCAAAAGCTGACAAGCGGACGTTGGTAGATTGATCTAAAGGTTTTGGTTTTTTGGATAAATTCGAGTCCTCTGAGGTTTGTTCCTGGTTCTTTTTCACCTCACCCTCCTCAGCTGTGGGACGTTTTCTCTTTTTATCTTCTGCTAAATCATTAACTGCTCCTCCTTTTGCTTTCTCAGTCCACACCTTTGAAGAAAGCACATCATTAAACAGGAAAATGTCTCAGGCCACCAAACCCACCACTTAATTTTATACACCTTCTTTCTCTGATTATAAGGAAGCACTAAAGTAATTCCTCTTAAGAACTAATAAGGGTGAAGTGAGGAACAATTCCCTCACTTTCCTTTTTTCCTAACAATATCCTCCTTCAAAACTATCCTTCATTTGAGCCTACATATGAAATTGAAGCTCTCAATTGTCTTTCTGGACAAATAAGAAACACAAAAGGCCTTAGAAGAAATGTAAGCCCCAGTGAATTAAGCCTGGCTATGTCACTTTTAATGATTTCCCTTCTATTTCATTATTTCTTCATCCATTACATTTCTCTTCACTTGGAAAAAGCTGCCTTCTGCTTTTAATCATTATTCAGACACTTTATATTTTCCTAAAGTACATGTTGTGTATCAGGGCCCAATTCACACCTGAAGTCCATGAAGATGGAGAACAGTGGGGTTTTAAGGAAAAAAATCCTAATCAAAAATAACAAAGGATTCAGGGGGGAGGGGGATTCTCAAAAAAGGATGGGACAGGCTGGAGAGGGTCCAGAGAAGGGCCACAAGGATGATCAGAGGACTGGAGGACCTGCCATATGAGGAGAGACTGAGAAAACTGGGTTTCTTCAGCCTGGAGAAGAAAAGGCTTTGGGAAGACCTTATTACCATGTTCCAGTACCTAAGGGGTGGCTACCAGGAAGATGGAGACTCCCTATTTACAAGGAGTCACATGAAAAAGACAAGGGGCAATGGGCAAAAGTTACTCCTGAGGAGATTTCAATTGGACACAAGAGGTAAATTTTTCACCATCAGGACAATCAGACATTGGAATAGTCTCCCAAGGGAAGTGGTGGATTTCCCCACATTGGACAGTTTGAAGTCTCAGCTTGACAGGGTGCTGAGCCATCTCATATATACTGTAGTAGTACCCAGAAAAGTTGGTCCAGATTACCCTTCCAACCTGGCATTCTGGGATTCTATTAAAAAAAACCCAGAATTAGAGAATGTTTTCTCACCTTTCTTTCTTCTGATGACAGCACTCTGAATCGACTCATGCCTTCTTTTATGACTTCTGCTTCATTCAGATCAGGATTATCTGCCAAAATGCTTGCTCTGTTCTCTTCTAGCCACATCTGGAATCCTGTCTTTGGTCTAAAACAAGCACATAAAATTGTCTGTTTAAGAAGGTTAGAGAAAACCCACATCCCCAAAGCAACATTTCTAAACAACACCTAACTGGACTTTTTTGTTCTTGAAAGAAAACACATATAAATATATATAAGTCAGCAATTTCCTTTCAGCTGTTGCAGGGTGTTTAAAGAACATGCTGACAAGGCAAGACCAAGTCAAGCATTCTTATTAGAACTGCGATCTATATGGAAATTAACAGCTCAGTTTTAGAATGACAAAGCAAAATGCTTCTCTTCCTTTCTGACAGGGTCCCATCAACCTAAAAATAGAGCACATATATTAGCACATTCCAGCTACTCCTTTTCACAGTTCTCCTCTCCCCTTGTTTTAGAACATTATCTGTAAAGGTTAATGAAAAGAATGCTAGTCCAAATGAATAATAATTACCTTCATCTTCCTCAGCTAAATGAAGTCTAAATGAAACATAATAATGCAAGTTTTCTGACTGGGATTGTTAGAAAATACATCTGCTCCAGAGGAACAAGACAGATTAGAGCCTTAGATAGGAAGAGATGTGCTCCTTAAGTGATACAAGATTTTTGTTTGTTTTCTGTTTTAAAAACACACTAAAATGAAGCTTTGACAGTTCCATGTAAGCCCCTTTGCTTCTAGGCCTGCTCTGAGATTTCCCAGAGATGTTTAAACTTTAAGTATTTCCTATACTTGGAACTGGCAGAGCAGCATGGTGTCATTTATCATTCTAAGGTACTTACCAGATGCAGAAGTAGCATGAAGGCAAAAATTGCTGCTTAGAGCCCCAGAATTACATTGTGCAGAGTCCATTTATTATTCACTCACACATGGACTTGTCTCAGGTGGCTGGAAAAGTTCTACTTGGAATAACACTGCCACACACTCTGGGAAAGGTATAAACAACAGAGTGCTTTTCTCTGTCCTTTCACTGTGATTGGCATGTGGCAATTTGGGAACCATGGGTTCTGTGCAGGTTTGTTTGATGATATGAAGTGTAAGGAGCAGTTACTGAATTTCTGAAGTGGGTTCACAAAAGTAACAGCTATGTAGCTCATCTAGTTCCAACCTCCTGCCATGGGCAGGGACACTTAACACTTTCACCATGATGTTATGCTACTTCAGCCAGGCCAACATCTTCAGAAACAAAACAGGTTTTGAACTTGCTGTTCTACCAAAATTGGAACATGGCATTGAGATTCCAGTGGCCACTCACCTTCTGTTTTCAGTGTTCTCCTGTGCAGTTACTTGGACTTCATGGGGCTCATGTCCTGCTTCTTCTTGTCTTTCTTCTCCTGTCTTTTCATTGGAGGTCGGGGTACGAACCTGGAAGAAGGAGGCTGCTGAAGCCTACAGGAATGGAGTTTAAAAACAGGAAATAAAAAGGTAAGAACATCTCATTTTCAGACAACATGTACCATGGAGCCTAACAAATAACAGGCCTTTCCTAAAGACATAATAATCATAGAACCACAGACTGGTTTGAGTTGAAAAGGACCTTCAAGATCATCCAGTCCCAACCCCCTGCATGGGCAGGGACACCTCCCACCAGCCCAGGCTGCTCCAAGCCCCATCCAACCTGCCCTTCAACACTGCCAGGGATGGGGCAGCCACAGCTTCCCTGGGCAGCCTGGGCCAGGGTCTCACCACCCTCACAGCACAGAATTTCTTCCTAATGTCTCACCTAAATCTCCCCTCTTCCAGCTTTCACATGCATTAACACAGCATCTAATCCATCCAGTTTCAGCACAGCAGATGTTTAGTTAACACTATTTAAAAATAAAAGCCCAAGATTCAGTGCAGAATGTAGTTTCTAGAACTGAAATTTTATTTGCTGTTTTATGTGCTTCTATAGTTTCTCCAATATGCTTACATGAACTTTGTCATCTAAGATGTTTTACTCAATCAACAGGGTTTCATACTTGATAAAAGCCAGTAAAATTCCATTTAATGCTCTTTGCTCACTGAAACAACATAAAATGACTGGAAACATTACCTGCTTGGACTTGGGTTTGGGAATCAGAGGCTTTATAACTGGAGGGTTTTGCTTGTTTGCAGCTCGACTGCCAGATGAAGAAGTTTTCTTTGAGTATTTGCTCATAGTGTCTAGAACATTTGCTGAGGGGACCACTGGGTCCTTTTTGCTAGATGACACCTAGCAAAACAAATAATTAGACACTTAATTTTCTGTAATTTTCCCTCCAAGATATCTGTCATGGTCACACTGTCAACTTTAGATACACTAATCAGTTGCTATTTTCAGAACACCACAATCAAACCAGCTGCAAAATCCTTACCTTGAAGGGATTCACTCGTCCTTGGCTGCTTGATGCAACTACAACTATTTAACAGGAAAGAGAAAAAAAGAATGTAAAAATGTGTCTATATACACACATAAATACACATAAAAATCTATGAAGCAAACTGCACATCTTAGGTAAGTGGATGAAACATCAGCCTCAGTCCCAAAGAACAAGGCTAACACTCATTTTGTGTATTTCAGCCTCTATTCATTGAGAACTGAAGAGGAGAACTACATCAAAGGCAACTATTCCACACCAAAGAAGTTCCCATCAGGCATGAAAGTGGTTGGATAAAGAGAAATACACTTTAATAACAGCATGAAGGTTGCACTCTACATGCTCAGCTACTATTAGTCATCAGAAACACCACACAGGACCAACAGCTTAAAATACAAATCCACAGGAAGACTCAGTACTTCCTCCACTCCCAAATCCGTTTCCACTCCTATTATTCTTGCTGGAGGGTTGGCAGGAGGGAAGAAGCAAGAAGCAGCAAGAGGTCACATTCTGCCCCTGCCTGCCCAGACTCACAGTTCCATGGCAGGATTACTGACTCTGCCTTATGAATGCAACAAATAGATGTGCCTGTGATTAGCAAAACTAATAAATTGATCACTGTCCTCATTTTTCCCCTGCCCCAACAAATGCCCTCATGACAGAGCCAGGCAGGCAAGTGATTTGGCACAGCTTGGGCAATCAGCACAGTGTTCTGAAACATCATTAGGTAATGGAGACACTAACAGGAATAGGGAACCTCTTAAAAACCTGAGAACAATATGTGCAGGATACCACTTGACAACACTGTTGTGCACTGAATTTCAGAAGGAATGGCAGAAGGGGGATGAAAACAGGAGCAGATTTTGTGAATAAGTGGACATCTACTCACCAGGCTTTGGAGTAGTCACCTCTGCAGAAGTCACACCTTTGGAGAAAGGATTTGGCCCTTTGGAACAAAGACAGGGGTACATATTTAAGTGTAATAAATGTGATGACATAACTTGCTAAAATAAACCCTCTAACAGACAAGGCAGTTACAGTAATGCAACTTACACTTTAAGGCATGATTCTCATTTTTGAAGTGTACATACACTTTTACAAAACCATCCTTGCCTAGATTTACCTTAACAAGTTGTATGCTTATTCCCTAAACTTTTAACCTATTTATTAAAATGTGCCCAGCAAACTACTTGTCTATCAATTCACCTCCTGCAAGATCTGAGCTGAAACCAAAGTAACAGCTTCACAAGGTGACCCAGTCCACTAGAAATAGGATCAGACAACACACAACCTTCCCTGAGGTCCCTCAGCTCCTAAGTACAAGGTCCAAGCAAGCTGTGACAGAGCAGATGAGACACTCAACTTGTTTCTCTGCAGTGCCTGCAGGCACAGGCTGGATTATGCACCTACTCCCTCAGGCAGGCACTGCTCCTCATGTCCCACAGGGAATTCCTGGTAACAGGAAGCCCACAGGAATGAGTTACTCCATGTCACCCCATTATTCCTGTGCATTTTTTCACATGACAACAGTCAAATAAGAGAGGATCAGAAACTACCAGACCTGTTCTACCTGGGTGGCAGAAAACCTAGTCCCTGCTACAGTTGCAGAGTTTCAAAACTTGGTGAAACAAATGGAATTATTTTCTAATTATGTCAATGACTTCTAAACCAAACCTCCCACCCCTCACTTGTGGTGCCCTGTGACAGGTGGTGGTCCTGTCTTCGCTAAATTTTATGTCAAAAGAACAAAAAAAGCCACAGGCAGAAAACCATGTTGTTTGCATGGTCCTATAGACTGCTGAGTTACCCAAACTACAAATTATTCTTCACAATGAGGGTGGTGAAGCACTGGAACAGGTTGCCCAGATGTGTGGTGCAGGCTCCATCCCTGGAAACATTAAAGATCAGGTTTGACCAGGCTCTGAGCAACCTGATCTGGTTGAAAAGTTCCCTGTGCACTGCAGAGAGGGGCTGGACTAGATGGCCTTTAAAGGTCCCTTCCAACCCAAACCGTTCTATGATTCTAAGTCTGTGAAAGACACACATAGATAACTTTCAGCCTAATCAGAGAAGACATTTTTCTTACTCTGTTTAGGCACTTCTGGTGTTTCTTCTGCTTCCTCATAAGCATCAGCTTCCTCAGCATCTTCCATTTCTTGGTCGTGCTGAACACTTCGGACTGGCCGCCGACTCCACTCTGAGGCAGAGCTGCTGTAACTGAACATGAGGAATTAATCAGAAAGGAAGTGGCCACCACATCCAGAAGGAAAACTAGAACAAAAGAAAGCTAACCTACTTAGCTAATTTAGGAAATGAGAACAATAACACTTCATGTTTATTTGCATTGTGCCTCTGATTGAACTGCGGTGATTACTAAAATCAGAATAAAGATTCATTTACCACTTCAGTTCACCCTGAAACACCAAGTGCAGTCACCTGAAGTGGTGCTCATGAAGTTTTAAACTGCTTTTCTGCACACAGCAATAAATACACAGCTGGTAACATGGATGTATATTTTCAGTCTGAAGCTCAGGAAGTGAGTTTTAATATTTAATCAGATTATTTAAATGTACAGTATAGTAGTATGTAAATTTCTTGCATTTCCCTCCTAATCTTTGCAGATGACTAAAAGCTGTGTCTATGTCAACTAAAGTTCCATCTCTTTCTACCAGAATGTCAGTATTAATCTGGCACCAAGAACAATACAGTGTTTGTGACCAATTTAACCCTCAGAGTGGCTGGCAGGCATGGGATTGCAACTTCCACACATGAGCCAGAAGAACAAGGTGGAGCATTTAGAAATTTAGAGCTTTAAAATGTGCAGTTTCACACAGAATAAAGGAAAGGCTACAGGTAAATTCAGGGATTTATCAATTCCTCTTGCTTAATCAAGCTTCAAACTTCATACGTAAAACTGCTATATGAAGACATTGTTTCTGAGAAAAAGTTATGACATATTTTCTGTGTTATCAGGCTGATGGTTTGTAACTATTTTGCTTACAGCTGCACCATCCCGAGGCCAAGCCAGGAACACAGCTCTTCTGTATGGTCTGCATTTGAAAAACACCACACACATCTTTTGCCTCAACATGCTTTACAAAGCAGATACAGGTAGGAGATGAAAGGTAGAGAGGAGACTGGGGGAAATGAATAGCAAACTTGTAGTATTTCCATAGCTTTGAAGAGCAGGGATCAATCAGCAGGGAAAAAGACTAAATAGGATTAATTGAGATGGGATATTGAAACAGGGGAGGGTTGGAGGAAGATTAACACCTCGCTGGAGGTGTTGAAGGCCAGACTGGATGAGGCTTGTGCAGCCTGGTCTAGTGGGAGGTGTCCCTGCTCATAGCAGGGAGGTTGGAACCTGATGATCTTTAAGGTCCCTTCCAACCTTAACCATTCTATGACTATAAGATAGAAGGATTTTAAGTTAAGTGTGGAACAAAGTGAGATAGACTGAGACAAAGAGGAAAAAAAAAGTTGGAATCATATAACCAAATCAGGACAATCCAGGTGGGAAAAAAATAACCAACCAACTCTAAACGTGGGATGAAATCTGCCTCTGAAGCTGCTGGACACAGACACACAGTAAGCAAGCAGTGGAGATAGTTTTGTGTTAGTACCCTGGTACTAATGAGCCCTCACAAGATCTCAGCAAGAACATACCATTTTATATGTACAGTGTGCAAGTAGAGCAACACAAACTGTTACTTCACAACAAAAACATTGCAAACTAAGGTCCAGAGAAGTGCATCAACAAGCTCAAAGTCTTAACAGCCCAGTAAAAACGTTCCCAGGTTTTCTAATCACAGAAATATGTGTTACCCAGCATTCAAGTGCTTTCGGAAATCCTCTTCTTCCTCTTCATCTCCTGGGGCTGTTGCCAACTCACTTGCTTTTTCTACAGCCATTTCACTAAGTCTCTGAGCTAAGTTTAGCCTTCGAGAACGAGAGGCATACTTGATAGCCAAATTCACCACGTTCTGTGTCATGAGGTCAGCGAGCTCCATGCAGCGAAACTCACGCTCCAGTTTGCAAGAAAGCTGAGAGAAAGAAAACAAAAGCCTGGAGAGTCCCACTCCACAGTTACACACAAGGCTCTAGGAGCAGAATATTATAATCTTGGCTTTCTAACTTTTCCCTCCCACCCTTCATAAAAAGCCACATTAACTCTTATCACAGTCTGTGAAGCAGCTGATTGCCAGTCACCAGCCAGACTTCTAATAAGAGGAATCAGACCCACCCTTTGCATCAAATGCCATCCACTCCAAATGAAATTTCAGGGGTTCTTTCTTGTACTTACAGCAAACAGCTTCATCAGAAGTTCCTGCTGCTCTCTCACTGCCTGACTTGTAATGTTTCCATCAAGTTCATAGCCATTTTTTGATAAGTAACCCAGGTGGTGGTGGAACAGGACAGAACGCCAGTACTGCTCCTGAAATAGAGAGGAAAATGCACTCTGCAGGTCAGAGGGGAAAAGACAGCTCACAACTTCATGCCTAACCATTTACAACATATTTTACCCATTTATTCTTAAATGTTCCTTTCATTTCTAGGTTAATCCTATTTCAGTGGGAGAGTTGGACTTGATGATCTCTAGAGGTCCCCTCCAACTCTAGCAATTCTGTGATTTTACAATGAGAGTGAGGGACAGACAATTGTCTTTAAAAGCCAATGCCTACCAAGAGAAAACAGAGCACACCAACATCCATCTGTGTAAAAACTGAGCCAGTCACCCTAGATGTTAAATTCCATTTATATTCCAGGCTCTTAGCAGGATGAGATATACACATTCACCAGTTTGCTACCAGGACAGACAATTCTAGAACAGGTTGATTATCTTCTAACTTCTGTTCCCCAGCAAATCTGAAGTACTCCAGAATAACTCAGTAACTGTAGGAGTAATCACCATCTGAGAGACAGGTAAACAGAAAATAACACCTCTTGCTGTTCAGGGAAACACTGGTATGGCTATTAGACCAGGCTAGTTCTGTTACAAAATAACTATAAATTTAGTCACAACCAGTATGTTTCCATGAGGTGTACTGAAATAATCTGCTGCTTTACTTAAACAGCAATACATATTCCCTCAAGCTAAATTAACAGTTCCTTCTTTCTGTTATATTGGGCTGTGTGTGGAAATCAAATAAAGAAAAAAAAGACTTTAGCCAAATGAAAGGGAATTAATTACAAACAACAACGTGTTTATTATTGAAACTTTTTTTATCTGCATTTCTATCATTTCAAACGGCTTTAAACTGTCTCTAAGGTTGAGGTTAGAATTTTATGTTAATTTCTATTTTGTGCACTAGAGCTGAACCCCACAAGACTGGAATATTTAAACGGATAAAAATCTGAAGAATAAATACAGATACTCTTCTGGAAGTTCTCATGTACATCTTGCTTCAGCCAGCCTCTACCTTCAGAAAGTTAAGTCAAGCCTGCAGGCCTGTGTTTTCAGAGTGTTTGAATTAATTGAAACACTTGGTATTTCTTTCAAAAAAGGACCTTCTAGACATTTTGTTATGCCTATAATATTAAAAACCAGGCACTTTCCAGAGGGTCTTGATTTGGATCCCAAAATGTGGTGCTTCCTAGAACACTGATTACCAGCCACCAATAATTACAAAAAAAAGAGAGGAACAGAAAGACTTCATTGGTGAGAAATTGATTATGTGTAAATAGAAACTTGCATCAGCTCTAACAGCTTTCATAGAATGGTGAAGGTTGGAAGGGACCTTAAAGCTCATCAGGTTCCAACTTCCCTGCCATGAGCAGGAACACCTCCCACCAGACCAGGCTGCACAAGCCTCATCCAACCTGCCCTTGAACATCTCCAGGGAGGGGGCATCAACAACCTCCCTGGGCAACCTGTTCCAGTGCCTCACTGCCCTCATTTAATTCTTCAACCGCAGAATGAAGAACTTCTTCCTGATGCCTGATCTAAATCCAATCTCTTTCAGTTTAAACCCATCACCCCTTGTCCTCTTCACTACATTATTCTAGAAACAGTTGTGAATCAAACCAGAAAAGCTGTACAAACCACAAAACCTCCTCAGCCACAAGTCTAGAGTGTGTGCTACCCCCTCTTCCACAGCAGAGATGATTAATAGGATTCTTTTATAATCCCTACTATGGGGATACCTGAGACTACCAGCTGTGGACACACCACCATTCCATACCTCCATCTGTCCCTTTTCTGTTGTAACTTGACAGTAAGGAAGTTTAAAGGCTAATATTGCTACAGCAGGCCGGGGGAGCGTTGGAGGGAACCGGGCTCCTTTGCAAGGAATACACCTGTGCAAGGGAAACAAAAACCACAGACAAGCCTCATCACCTGTACTCACCAGTTGTTCTACATCTAAATCATGCCTCCTAAGAAGTGGGATATTTTAAGAGGATTTGTTCTTTAAAAACTAGTAATTAAATCAATGACTTCACTACAGCAATACGTAAAATTGCTCTAAAAAGGGTTATTTTTACATCACAACCAATACAAGATGTTAAGCCCAGCAAAGAACATGCTGCTCTTGTTCACACCAGGAACTCCAAACGTAGCAGGTAACAGACACAGATCTCTATCTCACAGAAAAAAAACCCACAACCCAACATGATTTAGCAGCTATTACAACATGTAAATGCAATTTATTAAAAAACAACTGAAGGCCACAGGCACAAAAAAGAGCAGGCACATCCATTTATTTTGATTAGGGGTTTTGGACTTCATGAAGAGGGTGCTGTGTTCAGACACACACAGGGGGGAAGAGGAAAAAAAAGGAAGAGGGAAAGAAAAAAAAAGAATTGAAACAGATAAGCCTATCCTAAAAGCATAGGCTTATTGTTTAATTCTATTTAAGTTAGTGCTTTCTGGTGACAGTCACTGAATCAAAACATTGATTGGGGAAGAGCTGTATTTCCAGCAGCACCAAAGAAGCATTGACAAAAATGTCTGGTTTTATAAGCTACTGTTTCAGACTCTAGGGAAAAAAAAAAAAGAGAACAGGAAGTGTTGGTGTTCTGGCTGTGTTAATTGGGGCATGTGGAGTTTCTGCAATAACCCTCCCCTCTTCTTATCTTTAATATACTGATGGTTTTGAATGAAATGTTCTTTGCAGTTCAGAAAGCAGCACTCTCTTGGAGAAGGAAAAAGCTTGTGGTGACAGACCCACAGCTGACCATCCATCTGATAGGTTCTGCACATTTTCTGGAGGCCAACAGTACTTTATGGTTTGGAGGAAGCAACAGACAGTGAATTGACATTTACCAGTGAGAGCAAATCATTCACTTATTTTAAATAACACAGAGGATTAGAAAGAATGTCACATAAAATTAAATAAAATGCAGTTTCCCACCAATCTCTACAATTGTGCATGACTAGCAAAGTAAAAGAGCTTAAATTTCAGTAAAATATGTGAGCTGGTGGATTCTTCCCTGGCAGGAGAAGGACACAGATGACTGAAAAAAAGAGGGCTACAAACAAAGCTTAGCAAATAAATGTCTCTCTCAAGAAATACGTGTTATTTAGACATCACCACTATCACATTTTTATAAAGTAATGCCCAACCCTCAGCTAAATATTTGAGCCATTTAACATATTAAATTCTTCCTCATGGCCACAGTTAAAATATGACTATAAATCCAGACAGTTCTGATGTATCTACACCTACCAATGTAGATTAGTAACAAGATTAGATTCTGCTCAAAGGGACAAAAAGGGGAAAACACAGCTAAGAAAAAGAAAATTGAAACAAAAAAACAACCCCCCCAAGCCCATCAACAGAAGTAGGTTCCTAAGAGCAACCACAACTTTTTAGTAGGTTTCTCTAGAAAAATGCATGTGATTTCAGATCCAAGTGCACACACTTGTCAGCCAAGGCAAGAAGCCACAATTAGTCAGTTGCACATTCTAAAACTCCAATGAGTTCATTCAGAAACCAATTTAGTAATGCAACATGCACACAGAATTAAGTATGGACTAAATCAATTATTGTGCATATTTCCCAGGCACCTGTTTCAGTCCAAGTTGTTTCCAGCTTCTCCTAGTAAGAAGTGCTCTATAAATTAAAGCCAAGACAATCAAAGCATGATTATCTGAAATATCTGACCTGAGTTGCTGGGGATTTTCATGGATGCCAACTACCCAGTAATGATCAGACTTTCCTTTGCAGTGCTCTCTTGTGTTACACACTGGAATCCAAGTATTCCCAAGCCCTCGGTTCAACATCCGCACCATCCCCTCAGAATCCACGTAACAAGGGGTGCCTGTTGGTTACAAATGAAAGGCAACTAATTACCAGGGGAGAAAGCCTGAGCTCGTGGATACTGCTGGGAAATGGTGGTTTACATATCTCAAATACAAACAACATCCTCTCACCCCAACAAGCACAAACTAGCTGAGAAAAAGCAGCTTTCCTTGGAAAGATGCGCCACCTTCTGACAGCCAACACGACTGCTACTCGAGTGACAAGTGTCAACTTAAAAGTTTCCAAAGAAATCATACTACTTGGGGAGGTTTCCAAGGAAAAGCAAGTATTTTTACAATTATTTTTTCTGGTTATCATACAGAATCCTCCCAGGCTACCACTTTTTTGGGTGTGGCTTTTGCTGAGAGAGTTGAACACGCCTGTTACGGTGTATTCATGCAGTTCATTTCTTGTTGCTGAGCAGGGAAACCCATCAAGAAAACAAGCTCTGCTAACACTGAAGTGTATTCTATTCACAGTGGAAGTATATCGAAGATTTCTGATAAATATACTGAAGGAATTAAAAAAATATATATTTTTTTTTTAGCATTGAGGAGATAGGAAGAAAAAGTCCAGGTGTCCAGACCATCATTACTAAAAGGACACTCATTAAGCCCCCTCCAGAAGTCCCCCAATAGCCTCAAGATTTCTCAGTGTCCCTCATGCAGGTACTTCCTACCTTCTGCAGAGAATCCAACCCAAACCAAATGGGATTTCTTTGTAAGAGAAAGAGGGTCTCCATGCAAAATCTGTTTTTTCTTCTTTCCTAGCTCCATCAGCTGTACTCCAAGGCACTGGTCACCATCAAACCCAGTACCTAGGAGGAAATTGTTTAATGAGTAAGTTAGAAAATAAACTAATTGCTTTGTCTCTTGGCTAAATTTAAGATTTGAATCAGAAATTCATGGTAATGCAGGGTTATCTATGAATGTCACTGTCAGCCAAGCAACTGTCATTTTGGACAGACCAAGCATACGCAACAACAACTCCTCTAATTTCCTGTAGTAATTTATCTTGGCAAATCTGAAACCCCAGCTCAATCTATTAATACCACTGTTACAAAATTCTCCCCTTCCCAACAGGTTATTCTAGGCAGAAGAAAAAAATGCAGAAAAGAGAAAATGTAGAGAAAAGAAAATCCCAAGAGAAGATGTAGGCTTTGCTGTCAGGTGTCAAAGATCTGTGGGATGTGACAGTAAAAGCACCATCGAGAAGAGGAGGAGGAGGACAAGCATCATCAGGAAGGAAGAAAACACTTCTGGTGATTATGTTAATAAAAAATACAGAGGGGAGAAAACTACCTCTGTGGTAAATAACCATCAGCTGCTCTCCATGTCCTGCCATAGACACCACTGGACCTGGGAGACTGAAGATCTCTTTCTGAACTCCTCCAACCGTAAACACACGGACCAGCAAGGCACTGGTGGCACAAGCAGCCCAGCCCTGACCCAGACAGATGGCCTCAATGTCTTCATCCTTTGGCATATCTACTGTCCACTCCTTGTTTGTATCCCACGAGCTAAAATGAATGCAGTGGAGCTTGCTAAAGTAGAGACAAAGAACAATAGTCAAATACCTCAGCATGAAGAAAGAGACAATATCAGGAAATATACTAATATGTTAAGTTTTTATCAGAGACCTGGAGTCTGCAATTGTCATAGAAAGGAACTACAAATTACAAGTGGTCGTTTGCAAAGGAGTTACTCCTATTATTCAAGAACTGAAGAGGCAGTTCAGGTTCCAGCACTGCAGATTAGAGCCTCTACAGCCTGAGCACACAGTTCAGAGAGGTCTGAGGGGAGATTTTTAGATGGAAACACGCAAGTGTCCTGCTTAATTAACATTAATAAGAACTGAAGGTGCTCGGTACCCCTGAATATCAGCCCTCATTAAAAGTCTTTCAGATGACATGATCTTTTAAGGGAAAAAAAAAAATAACAGGAACTTGAGGTTTGCCATTTTAATAATTGAATTGTCTGTGACCAATTCAGAGTCACCATAGCTTTTCATAATTACCCACTTCCATTGAGAAAAAAGACTGAAATTTTCAGTCAGACAACCAGTACCTACAAATAACACTTTTGGTGCTTCTCAACTTGTAACAATGCTCTGTGTGTGAAAACCAGAAGAAAGTTCTTTCTTCAAGAAATTTCCACAGAAAGCAGCAATAAAATGTTGTTGCTGCTGTTCTGAAATGCTAGAGTCTAGCTGGCCCAGCTGCTTAAATCTTTCTATAGTTTTCAGAAACTTGTGCTCTTCACACTTAAAAGTTCTTTGGGTATCTCCAAACACACCTCCTTAGCAACAGTATGAAAAAATTTTAAATGGTCCTAATTATTTATCTTTGTTCAGAGCAGACTGAAGAACTATTGTTCATGTTTACAATTTCCTTGGACTAGCAATGCATGAAGTTACTACTGTGTATATCTATATATATTTGAAACAGGGTTTAAAAAAATTCCTCAGGAAACAAAACACATCTTTCAATATTCTTGAAGTCTTCAAGTGGGTGGGTGTGAAAACCCTCCTTGAAAGTGGTCCCATAAATAAAAAACATGACCAAAAGGCAAAAGTCTCAGAAGGTGAGAGAAGCTGAAATTAGAAGCTGAAATGCTTGGAAAAAAACCCAAACAAACAAAAAACAAAGCTAAGTGTAATTCCACGCTATGGATTTTGCAGAGCAGGCCATGACTTACCTTGCGAGTTCCTCTGTGCTCTCACAGGCAAGTAAAACAGCTTCAATTGAGAGGTCAGCCATGGTATGGTTCAGGGAGTTTGGCAGGTGTGTTGCATGATGGATGGAGGTATCATGGAATTCTATATCTATAGCATTGTCCTGCTCATCATTGTAACAGCGAATTATGCCAACAGAATTCCACACCTATCAAAAAGAATCCCCAAAAAACCCCCAACCAAAACAAGTCAGGACTTGTAGTTGCCAAAACATTTGGATTAGGCAGAAACTAGTTTCACTCTCATTGCTTAGCTATATTTCTCCTTACAAAATCAGATGTGAAGAGCTTGCAGTTAGAAAGAAACAGTGGATAATTCACATTCAAGTCTTCACAGCACAAACCCATCCACAAGTTCTGGCCAACAACAAGTATTTTTTAGAAAGACTTGCTAGAATTCAATAGCACAGGTATGTCCCTGCTCACTGCATTGAGGTTGGACTAGGTGACCTTTAAAGGCCCCTTCCAACCCAAACCATTCTATGATTCTAGGTACAAACTCCAGAGCTTGCTTTTGTCTTAGAGCCAAGTATTTATTTCTACATCAAAAGCAACTGAAACAAAGCCTAACATCACACCATCTTTGCATTCACAATAAGCTCCTTCCACCATTTTGCTTCACACTGAGAATTATGGAATAATGATCAAAAATCTTGGGAAGAACTGGACAATATTAAGAAAGCAACTGGATCTACCTCAGCAGACAGCAGGGAGATTTACCATGAAACGATGCGTGAGATGTGCAGGAGTGGAGCCAGACTGGAATGGCTTTTGCTTGGGGGTTGGCATTGGCCCATCATAGAAAGGCTGTTGGGTAGATGATGGTGGTAAAGCTGGAAAGCCAGTCTGATCATCATCATCATCGTCTTCCTTCTCAAGATTATTAGAATTAGCTTTTATCATTCCAATATCTAGAAGTTTAAAACAAATAAATAAATTACATTTCACACATATTATTATGATAAAATCTGGGTTAAAAAAATTAAATAGCCCAGAGTTCCCTGGAAAAATAAGGCAGAATGTATCTGAGAAGAGGACGCTAAGAGAACATCCCAATAACAGAAAGACAGAGCTCTGGAAAATCAGTTGATTCTGTACCTAGTGAGTTATCATCATCATCAATTATTGCCCGTCTCAAATGGCCTGAAGTTGGCCTAAGATCATCATCATCTTCATTGGCCCTTGGGGAAGACTGTGGCTCAATCATGTCTCCATTTAAATAGTCCTCATCTTCTCCATCAAAGAGATCATTGTAGTCTTTTGTCACTGCACTGGCAACCTAAAACCAGGTTAACAACCATCACAAAACTTCTTCTGGACATGGAATTCAAGAAAGGAACCAACACACAAGAAGGAAATTTCAACACACAATAGAGAAGGTTAAATATAGTTTGGTAACCTAAATAACCCTGTTAATTTAAGAAGTAATAACCTAAATAACCCTGTTCATTTAAGAAGTAATTAGGACTGATCACCTTGTCATTTGATTTCTTTGCATCCCCAATGTTTTCCAACAAGCCCAGATTTCCTTCAGTATCTGTATAAGCAATTTGCCTGGTTTTGGGGTGCCATGCCAGTCCACAAATTGTGTAATTTTTCTCATGCTTCATCCTAAAAAGAACATAAAAATAAAGGATTTTTAGCAGGCTTCTCAGGAAAAAACATCCCCAAGAGTTATTAAAAAAGTGGCAATATTTACTAGTAGTAGAGAGTGATGTTTCAGTGATAATACACACAATAAAATAATAGGTTACCTTTAGCATAAACAGCTACTATAAAAAATACAGGTCTGTCTTTCTATGGAGGAAATAATCTAAGCTTCAAAAATCAAACAGAATCATGTTTTCAAAACAACAGCTTCCTGACACATGTAGAAAAGACAAAATAATTCCCCAGCAGTCATAAATTCCAGAAACATCCAGTTCTAAAAAGAACATTGTTGTTTCTTTTGCACCAGACTGATTAATCCTGTCTTTTCCACCTTTTATTCTCACCAAAAAATCCTCCCATCAATTATGTACATCATGTCTTTAATTCTTAACACAGGTGTTAACAGTAACAATCATGCTTCTTACCCAAAATATTCAGACAGATAAATCATCTCTTCGCTACCTCACTTAATCATACCTTTTTTCTTCTTCTCTTTTTTTTAAATGTTATTACTTTTTTGCCTGAAAAAGAGATGCTTTAACCAAGATAAGGTGCAATTTATCAGTTTGTCCTTTTTTACCTACAGGTGAGGATGGGTGACTGATGTGTCTGTTATTTCTCTCTCCCTTTAGAAAATAAATATTCCTGCCAGTGATCTTGGGGAAAATTTGTTTCCATCAAAACTACCCTTTAATCAACCACTGGATTAAAAAAATAAGAAAACTTATTTGCACACAGAAAACTAGACTATGGAATTAGAACAAAATCCAGTTCAAAATGGCCCTTCCCTATTCTGTTTCTGAGAATGTAGTGTTTCCATATCCTTCCAGCTCTGCAGGAAGGACAACAGTATGGCACACAAATCAGCACATACTTTTGTGCCTATTGGACACAGTGGGGGAAGGCAAAACAATGCCACCTTTCCACCTACCACCAAGAGTCAAGCTCTTGTGGGAGATGCTTTCTTGTAGAGTAGAAATGAAACAGCAGCCCTGGGATTCCTTTCAGCACATGAACTGCAGCACTAGTGCACAGCCTTTTGGTTGCTGGGCTCCTCTCCCCTCCAGGGTTTTAACCCATGGTACCCTACCAAGCAGGTCCCAAAAGAGGTCAAAGTCTGCTCTCCTGAAGCCCAGGGTAGTGAGCTTGTTTCATACTCTGTGTTGCCCTAAGGATCCTGAATTCCACCATTTCATGGTCACTGCAGCCAAGACTGCCCTTAAGCTTCACATTGTCCACCAAGCCTGTCCTTGTTGGAGAGAACAAGGCCCAGCATCGCATCTTTTCTCATTGGTTCCTCTACCACTTGGAGAAGGAAATGGTCACCAAAGCATTCCAGGAACTTCCCGAATTGCTGGTGCCTTGCTGAGTTGTCTCTCCAGCAGATGTCAGGGGGCTGAAACCCCCCAGGAGGGCCAAGCCCTGTGCTCTTGCTCCCTTTGAGTCCTGACTGAGGGGTGGCCCTGCCTGCCAGCATCACCCAGACCTGGCACTGCTCTGTTGACCTGTGGGCTTTGGCTCCTCCTCCGTGGATGGTCTCCCAGCCCCACCACCAGCTGGGAGACCACCTGTGAGGGCAGGTAAATGGTATTTTGCAACCTGAGCCTTCATACACTGTCTCCTGGGGTGCTTGCTTTCACAGGAACATTAGCAGAAAACTTAAGAGAACTGCCCTGTAAACCTTACTGAAGCTTTTCAAGAGGCAGATCTACAGTTGCACAAATATGTTTTACAGAAAAGATAAAATTGTATTTCATATAAAAATTTGGGTATTTATGGAAGAAGACTGAATACCTCTCTATGCACTCCTGGGTTTCCATATTCCAGACCACTATACTCCCATCCACACTTCCAGCTGCCAGGTACTGTCCACAGGGAGACCAGGCCACAACATTCAAGGGCTAAGGAAATAAAAAAGAAATGGAAGAATAAAAACATATTACCAATGCACATACAGCATTTATACTCTGGAGCTTAAAATAAGACAGGTATTCTAAAATTTAAATATAATAATAATGATCTTCAGCAAATCACAACCAGCTTCCTGTACCAGAGCTGCTTTAGGGAATTCCCTGCAAAAAACATTCTTTAAAGATCCTTTTTTTCAAGGATTTTCATCTTGTGTCATTAAATGCTGCCATAAGGTTGAACAAAACCTGATTCTAGACAAGTACACAGAAGCACAGTGTATTCTGCAATCTCAGCACTAAACATAGCTTTATTTATTTTGAACTTAATACAGCACCATAAATTAATATCCAATACTGTGTGTTCTGTATCTTAACACTAAGAAACTGGTTCTCTTTAACCCAAAGGTTTCCAAGTACATAGTAAGGACAAAAGAAAGAAGATGGCACTGTTAGGGTTACTAGGTAGCTAAATTTCAGCTTAAAAACTGATATTTCTGTTCTGTACAGAAATAACACAGCGTTTTCCCTGAAAAGCTATGTATTTAGAGCAATTTGTGGAATCAGATATTTTGAGCTGCAACTGGTGAGTCACCAGTAGACCTTGCAAATCTCATGGGTTACTATAAATGAAAGAGGAGAGCCAGAGCCACATAAAAACATGTTTGACACTCACTCTTGCCTTGTTTTCCAACATAAAGTAACAGGAACAGAAATGAAATAGAAAATGTGAGCAGTCTTTACCAAGAGGAGCGGAAATATATATACATATAGACTTGTTTTTAGGAGGAAATTCTTTGCTGTGAGGGTGGTGAGACCCTGGCCCAGGTTGCCCAGGGAAGCTGTGGCTGCCCCATCCCTGGCAGTGTTGAAGGGCAGGTTGGATGGGGCTTGGAGCAACCTGGGCTGGTGGGAGGTGTCCCTGCCCATGGCAGGGTGGTTGGAACTAGATGATCTTGAAGGTCCTTTTCAACCTAAACCAGTCTGGGATTCTATTTTTTTATCTACATACATACAGATAGAGAAATAGTGTTCAGAAGATAATTTCTGTCACAGTAACACTTAAATTATGGAAGATTCAGCAAGCACCTGATTCATGTACCTACCTGTGTGATGAATGTATCTGACAGATCCAAATGACTCTCCCAGGTTTCTCTTCTGTACAGTTTAACAACTTTATCTACAGGAACTGCCAGCAACTGATGGAAGAAAACAAAAATCAGACAACTTAGAACAAGTCACCTTTCAAACAGGACATTCAAAGACTGCCTCAGTGTTTAGCAGTTCCTTAGCATCCTAGCAATGCCAAGGGAGAAAGTAATGTAAGCTGAAGTAACTTGAATTACCAGGTTCTTTGATGCTTTCCACATGCAACACAGCAAAGCAAACTTTTTATTTTAATCTTAATTTCTTTCTGGCAGAAAACTGAAGATAATGACAGCTGCATAGTTTAGAAGTTCTTATTCACAAAGCAGCTAACACTAACACACACATCTAAATAGTTTAAGTGCTTTGAGCACAAGGTTTATGTTTTTTTCCCCTCTGTCTCCAAACCTCTTCTGTTCAGTTACAATTTCTCAAGAGATCTTATTTGAATAGCTAATTCCTGAAACACCTCATACTATCCTGCACATATTATCCTGTTACTGCTTGTTAATTTCTTTAGGATTTGGATTTTTCAAAGACTTCTACTTATCTTTCAAGTGTGTGTGTGTGTGTGTGTGTGTGTTGAAGGGCAGGTTGGATGGGGCTTGAAGCAACCTGGTCTGGTGGGAGGTGTCCCTGCCCATGCAGGGGGGTTGGATCTAGATGATCTTGAAGGTCCCTTCCAACCCAAACCAGTTTGGGGGATCTATGATAACTTACTAAGGAAATATCTATAGAACAAGATTATCAACAAGGCAAAAATTATTTAAAGTAGAGAAAGAATAAACTCCTTTGATGCTCTTTTCTGAGCAATTTAATTATTTCCCTTGTGTACAATGTTCCTTCCTATTTAGCACAATGTAACTGGTCCATGTTGTTGTGAGCTGACAGCTGCACTGCTTCCAAACACAGCCTGGAGCTTAAACCAGGAACCACTTCCAGGTTTTTATTTTTCCTAAAAGCAGGCTTCCCCAAAAATATTTTCCCTAGTCTCAGGAGCTGCAATTTGCCCTTGCCCAGATTGAATTTCTACTGTTGGGACTCTCAAAGAGAAAAGCAGGATTAAGATGTGATAAATCAATGGCACTTACCTTCCCACTGCCAGGTTGCCAGCCAAGCCTGCATATTGATTTGGCATTTACCACATCATTACATTTCTGCAGCAGTGACCAGCTTGTTGTGCATGTCTGAAAACAAAATATTTAAAAAAAAGTTTTCTAGCTCTGTGGAAGTCTGAATAGTACAAATTCTTAAAGGAAAAGCATGGAGGGGTAAAGGAAAAAATACACACCATTTTTTGGAACTGAAATAATCTCTCTCATCCAAATACAATGGTACACATTGCCTTTCAAAACCTCAAAGCTGAAAAAAAAAAACCTTGCCAATATACACTTGAAACTATTTAAATGACAATAAAGCAGCTTTGAACAGAAATAAGGTCATAGAACAAGTGTTCGTAAGCAATTACAGAACAAATAAGCTCACATATTTTTAGGTTATAGGGAAATCTGGCCAAGTGCATTTGTCAAACCCAAATCACCTGCAGCAAGGTAAGACATCAGCCTGAATCTCAGCACAGCAGGATAAAGAATGAAAGCTGCATTCTCATATTACAGCCCAGATACATACATCATACTGCTAGAATGACACTGGTAAGTGCACCTGCCCCAAAAGGCACCCATTGCCAGTCTGGAACTTAAGATTTCACATTAGAAATAACCTTTTGTTTAAAAAAAAAAAGTAGCAATCCACAAATGTGGAGGCACATTTTCAACTACTTACAGGAATAAATCCATGTGGATTCTTATTCCAGTCAATGGCATTTAGCAAAAAGAATCCCACATACACATGCAGAATTGTCACACTAAAATGTTCACTTCAAACTCTCTTTTCAAGCTCCTTAGAGAGAGTTCCAAGAGACTAAATCTGATTTCATACAGTCCCTGAACTACTTTCAGCCAAATATTGCCAAAGCTGATCCAAAGACTATATTTCAAATTCATTACATTTTTCAAACTGTGCTTTAGATCCTTTTTCTGAGAAATTGTCCAGTTTATAACAAACAAACAAAGTGGAATAGCAAGGCCCTCATCAATAGCCTTAAAATCATTTCAGTCTAAAAGGTTGAAATGCACTGAGCTGGACCTTGAGTCCTTAGAAAACTAACAAAATAAAAAGATATATAAATTTACAAAATAAGAGAATGTGTAGTATCTCAGAGCATTATTCCACCTTCATCAGTCAGTGCACAATCCTGAAAATCATTATTTCCTAGGGAGCTTGGTAAAAATAAAAACAAACCAAAATACACCAGGATGGTAGTTTATTAAAATAAAAGCCCTTCCTTAACCCTGAAAGCAATGGGCTGAGATTCTGAAACAAGGACCCTGTCAATTGCTGCCTTTACTCAAAAGCATTTTTTTTCTGAATGTGCAGAGGACAAAACACAGAGTGTTGGCCAATGAAGAAAGATGAAGAGAAGAAACCAGGGATTCCACAGACAGGAAGAACCACCCACAGCTTCCCAGGTGACACTTCATAATCAGTCTTTGAAATTTCTCCCAAAAGTAGAGAAATGTGTTCTGTAACGTGTAGTTAGATTCTTTCCCCATAAGAAAACCCTGTTCCAGTAAGGTTATTTCAAACCACCTCTTCTCACTGTCTGGGAAATCCTGGATTTCTTATGGAACATTGTACTCTGAAAGGCAGGCCTGTTACCTGATCTGCCATGTTCCACACTCGGACAGAACCATCACAGCTTGCTGATGCCTGCGAGAGAGATTTTTGTAAACAAATCAATCATTAAAGGCAGAGAGAAATTAATGCTACAAAATTTAAAACCCTATAACCAATGCTATGGACATACAACACACAGGCAGTTCTAAAAAGAAAGCCTCCCTGTTTAAACCATTTTAAGATTTAAAACTTCCTAATACTGTCATCTTGGTAATTGTACTTGACTATACGCTACTGTCATTACAAACCCACATACTTCAAGTGAGCTGCTTATTCACAGAGGCTCAAGTTTACTATTAATTTCTTTAGTGAGCCATCTTTTCCCCCTCTAAAATCAGATGACCATTAAGATACCAAAATAACATACACAGTAATTGAGAAGTAAAGCAAAGACTGAGCAATCCTGGGAAGCAACCAGTTGTGTTGTGACACGCTCTATCATCAGTCAAATCAGATGAAATGAAGGACTCTCATGTGCCCCAGACATTGCTGTTTTTTTAAATTTATATAAAAAGTATATGTATTTCTTTTCTTTCCCAAGGAAAAGGACATTCAAAGTAGAAAGTGAACAAGAAAGTGTTTTTACCAGGTAAACATCCCTGGGGTCAAAAGACAGGCTTAAAACAGGAGCATCATGTCCTCGGAACGTTTTCTGCTTGCTGCTGTCAGCCACCTCCACAACTTTGATCATAAAGTCACTGGAGATCACAACAGCACAAACACCAAAGTATTAACACTGATATTAACAATGACAAGCTACATGTTTATGGCAATAAAAACTGGGCACTAACTATATTTTGGGGAAGCTTACGGCTCTCAGCACTCTAAGATCTAAGGGAAAACTAGAATCTTCAGGCTTTCTACATAGACCAGGAGCAAGGCCAGACCATTTTCATTAGAAAATAACTCCTGTCCACTGCAAAGCTCATAAAATGTGGCTGCTCTTGGAAGAGGGTATTACATACACACACAGTCCATAAACCTGTTTAACATAATATTGCACATGACCTAATGAAAACCTCTCAGATACCAGAGGGCTGACTTAACAAGAACTATCTGTTCAATGGGACCAACACTCATTATTATAATTACTTGGTCATGTGTTGTTTTTTTTTAATCATAGATTAAGTAGTTCACTTTGTGATGTTTTAAACAGGGTTTTTAAGACCATTTTGTGTAAGATACACCACCAGATACTTTTTTTTTTTTACAACTTTATTCCCTCCCCCAAAACTACAGACATGACTGCAGTTTGGCTAACTTCCAAGCCAAAGAGCTCCTGTGACAACCCCTCAGTATCCCTCCCTCTCAGACTTCATGGCAACACCCTCAGAGAAAAATTTAATTTTAAGACCTAATTCAATAGGGTTAACCATGACTTCAACTATATTCAGAAACACCACCTCAGTTTTGTCTATCTAATGCCAAACAGTCATAAAAGGAAGTCTGTGAGCTACACTCTGACACAACTAAAATGATGTTGACCTTCTTTAAGCAATTTTAAAGAAAAAAAAAAGACTATTTTAATGTTTTTAAGATATTTTAATGGGAAAAAAAACCACACTAGGCAATAGGGTGTTTTTTCTTTATTTAAGAAGCCACACAACTAGTTCTCAAATAGTTCATCTGAACTTTGGCAGCCAGTTGGATGTTAAACTTCGATAAAACTGAAGTTTGCAGAATTCACATTAAAAAAATGGAGAAATCCGGGCCAACTAAAAGCAATTCTTCTCAGCTGTATTCCTTCATTTCATGGCTGTCACCTTCTCATTCAGCACATTACAGGAGACCTTGTGGAGGGGTTGCCTCACTGTCTTTTGAGCTCTTTTTCCTAACGTGAGAGCCCTGGCCAGGCTGAAGTAGTCCTGGGTTTTTGTAGAAGTTTCAGAAACAGAAGAGTTTGCCATCTGCTAATCTCTCCAATCACAGTTAGCTCCTGGAGCACAGCTGGTCCCTCAGAAACAAGCACTGGCAAAGGGCCCAAACTCCTGATCCCTGTCAGATTTAGAGATGACACTGGTTACTGCCCTCAGCTGCCCAGTCCCCCAGTTTTGGTGGAGCTGGTGTGTCTGCTCTGCAGCTGACAGAGTTCAGAGTCCAGTATGTTCATCTGAATTGCTTTCCAGTCCAACTCACACTTAAAAGGAGCCAGGAAGCAGATGCAAGGCTCTGCCATCTCTGCTATGGAGAACAAATTCCACTAGAGAAGCCAGCAGAGAGCCTGGGTTAGCTACAGCTGCCCAAAGAGTTCACCAAATCTAAGAATCACCTGAGCCTTAAATAAATGAAAAACAGGATATTGCCTGTTTGTTATTCTGCCATCTCTGCTAAAGGACTAGTGTGTATTTGTCCAAAAGCAAACATGCTGCCCTAAGAAATTAACTAAACCAGGCATTTAATTCCCCACAGGCAAGCCTTGCAACTGTCATCTGTTATCATTTGGCAGAATGGCCATGATACTTAGGCCAGAAAATTACTCAAAGCCCTTACACAAATCCAAACCCATCACACTTTTGTGTGTGTTTATCCATCTGCAACACCATGATCCTGAAGAGTCAGGACAGTATCTTCAGCACACAGGAATAAAATCCTTGATGGTGGAACAAGATCCATCTGGGTGGACATTTATGTTTACTCACTACAAGAATGAAAGCTGAAAACACTCAAGCCTCCTAAAGAAAATGAATTATTTCACAACACCAGAATTCAATTTAAAAATAATTTGGTGGATCAAGTATGTCTCAGAACATAGTTTCTTAAAGTCCTCCTCATTCTTCCCCTCCAGCCCCAGAAAGCATTTTGCAACATGTTAAAGCCCTCAGAGGTGTGTGGATTAATGATCTCATTGGTAAAAATCAGCACAGGAGGAAGTTGCTAGATTTTTTTCTCCTGATTGTGCACAGGTTACCTTGATCCAGCAGCAACTTTGGTACCATCACCATTAAAGATGACATGGTTTGCATTCATGGTGAAACGAGTTAGGATGCCATCTGGAGCTCCTTCAGGAAATGTGTGTATCTGAACAGTATTGTTTGACACTGCTGTGATCAGTCTTCCATTCTAAAAACAAAACCCACCATGGAATTGGTTAGCTAAAACACATTTATGCCCATGAAGCAATAATAACATCACTCTGATGTTCCAAATATTTGGGCAGATTAACTTCTGCAGTTCCAAAAGAGGTCAGACAAGAGGAGTAGGAAGAGAAATATTCTTTAAATGTTATTTCTTAAAAAAAACCAACCAACAAACAAACCCACAATCACAGTAACTTTAATACTTGGTCACTTTAACCATACTATGGAGAACTAGAAGAATCATGCTTTTACTTTCAGCCTTGTAGAAACACATGGGTAGATCTAATACTGAAACTCAGCTGCTTCAGTAGACATAAAATTTACAATGTATCAATTTACTGCATCCAAAACTTCCCAACTTGCACCTTTACTAAAATAAACTCTAAGTCACTAATTAATTTCAAAGAAAACTGTTTGATCTCCTGGTGGATGGAAAATTCCCTGTACGTGGGCCAGGAAGCTCTTGGACCAGGAAGAATCTTGCATCCTATTCAGATTCATCTGCTACAGCATCAGGAGAGGGCACCCTTGGACCAAACTTCTCCACTAAATGCCAGCAGAGAAAGATGAGAAGCTCATGAACTATAACTTAGTTCTTTTCAGATAACAGAAGGCAGATGTTTACTAAAAGTGAACCCAGGTCACAAGAAGTGCAAAACATAAAGAAATAATTCTGCTATAATTGGAAAAGTAACAGCACTTCTTCAACAACACTATTCCTCAGCTGTATGTAACAATGCATTTTTGAAATATATCAAGAAATGTTTTATTTCCTTAAGGTTTGGTTTTTTTATTTGGGCTGGGGAGCTGTTGCTTTTAAGTTGCCTAAAGTTACAGTAAAAATCCTAAAGATAAACAAAACAGCAGCCAGTACTAAGCCTACCTAAACCTAACTAAATAAGAGATTATTAGATTTATTACCTAGATGACACTGACATCTCAGGTCAGCTCCTCATTGCACTTTCATTAATGAAGAATAATTTTTAAAATAAGATTTCCTGCAGTTAACCACACAAAGTGTTCTTAATCTCACTGTTTCAAGTTTTTAAAAAAAGTCCCTCAAAACTAAAAGCACTTTACAATAAACTGAAGAGTAGAGGATGTTTTCCTGC